CGCGCCGACGCCCCCAGCAAGAAGACGCCGCGCACCAGCGACGACGGCAAGGACAGCAACGACGACGACGAACTCTGAAGGAGCCCAAGAAAGGTCAGTCCCGCCTTTCGTTGGGAAGTACGTGAACGGGGATACCAATTACATTCACTTGGTAGTGGTCTACACGCTCAAATTTTTGGGTGCTGCAGCGAATGGGATGGCTGCGGGAATGAGTATCGTACCGCAGTCTCGACTATGTCTACAGCTAGTCTGGGTGACTGCCGCAGTAACGACACGGCCGAGACTAACGCTCGGGAGGCCCCGCCTCGATCCAACCCCCTCATGCGAACGCGTCGTCTCAAGCGACACTTTTGCTTTCTCGTCTTGTGGGTTCTGACGGCTTTGCCTCAGTGCCATAGCCGCAGTCATCGCACGCGAGCGTGCTCTGATTCAACTCTGGGTGACGGGCCCGACTATCACAAGTTCGTCTCACTCAATGTGACTTCGCTGCAAGCTCACTGGGAACTGCTCACAGCTCTTGGCGATCGAGGCGTCGCAGTTGCAGCTCTACAAGAAGTACGTCACGCGCCTCATCAACTTTCGGACCTCGATAAGCATCTCCATCAACATGGGTGGAAAGCACATTGGGGCCCGCCTCTCTCTCCGGGCGCGCGTGTGGTTCCAGCGCAGAATGGCAGGCACCAGTACGTGACCAAAGGTGTTAACACTGAGCACGGGGGCGTCGCCATCGTCACTCCGACCTCCGAACCCGTGGTTCCTGCGGATTGCCAACACCCTGTCCAAGAACGTCTTCTTGCGACAAAGCGCTGGAAGGAGGTTTTTGTTCCCATCCCCAACCAGAAAGGGAAGCAGACCACTGGTTATTACCTCGCCACCGTCTACGGAGTCGCCACAGAGTCTAACGAGGACCTGTTCGCGGACGTGTGGCAAGCAGCTGCTCTTCGAGGTGCGGCTGCCCCCTATTTCATCACCATGGGTGCTCAGTGCGACGTCACCGAGTCTGCGTTTCCCAGCTGAGTATTACAGGAAGGTGGCTGGAACAACGTCTCGAACGGATATCCCGACCAGGGCGCCATGACCTACGGCCGCGACCCCAACTGGAGCCGCTGCGGCCCCATCGAACACACCTCCAGGATCGACAACATCTTTGCGAATGGTGGTGCCAATGCTATGGTCATCGACTTTCAGCTTGTGCGCGAATTCAAATGCCCTGGACATCTCGCCCTCGAAGTCACTCTCAATGTGGACGCCTTGGCAGCACGAGTACGACGGTGGGAACGCCCGAAGCTCTATACTGTTACTCACATCAGCATGTCACACGATGAACGAGAAGCGCTTGGCGCCCACTTGGTTGACCAACATGCTGATCAGCTTGCACTGGCACAAGGCAATGCTGAGGACACTTTCGCTCTTGCCAATACGATTGCGGAGGATTTCTTGGATGTATGCTGTGATGGTCATATCAAGAAGGGTACGAGAGGGCGTGGCAAGCCCCCTCGTTTTGTGCATGGGTGGGCCGCCCCACCCATCTCTCCACAGCACGGTGCCATGTCTCGCGCAGAGTGGCAATACACCAAGCTTCACCGTCGACTACTTGAACTAAGTTATCGTGCTGAACGTTGTGAAACTCGTGGGTGTGCATCCTACGTCGACATCCAACTCTGCCACCCGCTCTGGGCCAACTGCTGCAAGAAAATTCGACTTCTTCAACCAGTGTGTGCATCCTGGCCTGGATGGTGGACGCCTTTCTGTTGGCCTTCGGCAGCCCAGGCTCGTCACGCTGCTGCCCAGATTCTTGCTGAACAACAGCGGTATGCCGCAGAAGCCCAACGCCAGCGACTTCAACAATGGCGAACTCGAATTTCAGCATCTTGTCAAAGTGGAGGGCGAGAGGCGGGAGGCCTTGACGGATGGGCGACGGTGGGGGCCAAAGCTTTCCCCACAGCCATCCAAGCCGTCTTCGCCGAGGCTCTCCGATCGATGCAGAATTCGGGTCAGGTCGAGTGGTCCCGACACGCCGAGAACTGGGTCCACGGTCTCGCCCCCGACAGAAAGAAGTGCTTCGACCTGCTGATATCCAGTATATGCATCGAACTTCAACGACGCGCAGGGTGCCCCGAGAGTGTGCTTCGAGTCCGTGAACAGTTTTACGCCCAGCATCGGAGATACCTGCGAATGTCTGGAACTTGCAGCGACGCCATGGCCACCACGAACGGCCTCTTACAAGGCTCTGCATTCAGCATTGATGATATTAAGATGCTCGTGTATGTATGGACGGCGCGACAACACAGGGTAATACCGAGATCTTTTTCCATAACGTACATCGACGACTCCAACTCAACTGTGTGGGACATGGCTGGGATTTGTGAATCGCTTCGTGAATTGTTCTTTTTGACAAACTATCTGGACAGGAACTACATCTTGGGAAGCTGGTCGCCTGGACCACCGACGAGAACTCGGTCGCTGAGCTCGCCGGCACCACGGTCTGTGGCCACAGCCTGCCCGTCAAGCGCGCCTTCCGCCTAGTGGGCAGCCAGATCGTCACGCGCGGAGGTGACGACACTAGCCTCATGGACCGCCACGTCGTTGCTGCAGCTCAACGACTTCAACGTGCTCAACGGCTCCCCCTTCCTTTACATAAGCGTGCCGACATCGCGCAAACGATGGAGGCATCCATGGTTGCTGTGGGCTCCGACCTCGGCACGCCATCCAACCGACAGCTGCGGATTACTACCGCGCCATGTTTGCGACCATCATGCCTAAGGGGCGGCAGTGGACCTGCCAGTGGATCCTGTTGAGCGTCGTTCTGAAGGGCCACCTCCTCGACCCCATCACGATCAGCCAGAGGGAAGTTACCCTCTCGTCACGCCGTCAGGTGCTGCGGGTGCCACGGCTTTGTGACTACGTGCGTGTCCTTCGTGATCATATCCAAGATGCAGATGCCGCCTACCCTGGTCCTGTTCGAACGTTCGTCAAGATGCTCAACCAGCTCAACTGGCGCTGGCCATCCTTCGACATCCTGCTGACCGACTTGGGCACCCCATTTCGTGGCTCGAAGGGCACAGTGACTTTCTCATGCATCATCTTCGAGACGCCCAGCGACGGTGGTTTCAACGTAAGGTGCCCACTACGCGGAACGACTTCGGAGACGTGGCCAAGCACAAGTACGGCATTGACATGGTATCGAATACTTGGCTCTTGCGAAGACGCAGTCTCAGGCATCGACTTACTAAGTGGCAGCGCGGCCTTTTGTCTGTATTTCTAGCCGGCGGCGGTCACGCGCAGCAGAGATTGCAAAGATCGTCAATTTCAGAAGACACTTCAGCGGTGTGCAGGTTCTGTGACAGAGAACAGGAAACGCAAGAACACATCCTGTGGGAGTGCCCCTGCTGGCGAGAAGAGCGCGCACCACTACTCCAACATCCACAAGTGCAAGAACGTGATCAGTGGTCGCCTTCAACACGTCATTGTGGTCTCACGTACATCGATGAGGAGACGGTCAACCTCTACAACGAACTCGCAGCCTTACCTGCACCCCCACAACATCGACCCCCACAGCAAGTGGACGACGACCCCGCCGAGGACATGGTCAACTACATCACCGACGACGAGAACAAGCGGTGGTTGGCCTTAGCCACGGATGGCGCCTGCCGTTTCCCTCAACATCAGTGGCTAGGTCGAGCTGGATATGCTAAATGTGTGGCGCCACGCCACCGCCTAAACTGTTTATCGAAGCTATGCGGACCACGACAGAGTAGTGCGCGCGCTGAGGCCCGAGCTCTACTTCATGTTGTACGCGTTGCGGAAGAGCCCGTTTGGATCTACTGCGACAATCAACAGTGTGTTCGTGAAGTCAACAATCTACTACGAGGAGGAGCGCCGCCTGGAGGAAGCTGGAATGACATCTGGACCCAGATCAAGATTGCGATCGACGCCACGTCCGAGATGTTCTACATCGAGCACGTGTACTCGCACCAGGGCGATGACGGTGTGGACCGCGGCGCTGTGCATCCGCTCGCCGAGGAGTTATATAAATATGTTGATGTGCTTGCCGCTAATGCCGCCAAGTTACACCCCCTCCCGACCTCTGTAAGTCAGAAAACCAGGGGCCGTTTTACTTTGACCACTGTAATGCATCGCGCGATTGTTCGAATTTTAGAGAAGCGTGCTGTGACGAGACCCCTTCCCCATCGGTCTGCGGGGTTCTCGGAGTCCCAACTCGCTCGTCTCGCTCCTTTCACCACTGACCCTCTCCCGCCTCCTCCTTCCCCCCCCTCCCCCTCCCGACTGGGGGGAGGCGATGGGGGTCGAGGTCGAGCTCGAAGATGAGGCCGATTATGACCCTTTCTGATTTGGTCTCGAGTTAGGTTAGCCTCTCGTCCGATCCAGCTTGGCAACTATTTAGATCGTGCGTCGACCCGTGCCCGAGGCAAGAGGCCGCCGCCTCCGTCTCGGTTTCAGATGTGGCGCACTCCGTTTCAGAGTCCAAACGAAGGGGGAGCCACGTTTTGCTTTTATTTTCTTGTGGTTGAGCAGGCCCAGCGAGCCTGGGTTAACCGATCCCAAGCGCAGGGCATCACCATCACCATCGCCATCGCCATCGCCATCACCATCACCATCACCATCACCATCACCATCACCATCACCATCACCATCTCCATCCCCATCACCATCCCCATCACCATCACCATCACCATCACCATCACCATCACCATCACCATCACCATCACCCTCGCCATCCATCACCATCACCGTCACCGTCACCATCATCATCACCATCACCATCACCATCACCATCACCATCACCATCACCATCACCATCACCATCACCATCACTGCCATCGGGCCCGGACTCGCTGGGGAGCGAGTGCGCGCAGCCCCTCCGATCTGCCTTCCGCGTCCGATTTACGTACTCTTGGCGGCGCCGACAGTGAGTCTCACTGCAGAAGATCGGTTGTTTCTCTTGTTTGCTTCGCTTGCGTCCACCCATATTCTTTGAGATGGCGAAGAAGGCAACGAAGACCAGCGGGCCTGCAGCTCTCAAGACGAAGGCCGTCGGAATCATTCAACAGGGCGGTGGCGATCGAGCTACCGCAGCCTACAACGAGCTGATCCATAAAGACCAGGCGGGACTGGACCAGGTGCTGGAGCAGACCCCAGAGGACAAGCAGTTGAGAGCCACCCAGAAGCTCTTGACGAAGAACAAGATCTCGTGGACCCACGAGCACCAGCGGCGCACTTCGGCTGCCACTGATGTGACCGACGGCTCCACGAACACCACGAAGGGCAAGGGCAAGGGCACCGCGGCCGTCGAGCCGCAGCCCATTGCCTTGGACGAGCACGGCTGGTCCATCCCCATCGCGCAGGCTCCCAAGAAGATGCCCGACGGCACCTACGAGTCTTCCGTCTCCTTCCACAGCATGGAGGATGCGGAGAAGTGGTGCGCTGCTTACCGCGCCAGGAGGAGCCGCTTGCCATCCTGGCCATCGGCACGGGCAGCGACAACTGGGCCCATGCGAAGATCCAGATTCCAGTTCTCAGGGTCCCCCACGGCACCACCAACCCGCGGAAGACCTTCATGAACGGCGTCATCTACCAGTTCGGCGAGACCGACGTCACTATGAAGTCCAATGTCGCGCAGCTCGGCGATGCGGACGGCGCCGCGACCTTCATGCGCATCGCCATCCACGAGGCCGACGCCCTGCTCGTCAGCCCCACCATGCATGAAGTTTTCAGCAGTCAGTTCAGTGGCGCTGCTCCTGTCGTCGTCGGCGGGCAACGCAAGGACAAGCTGGGCAGCACAGCCAATGAACGTTGGAAGGCTGCTCGCAAGTCCGACGCGAAGATCTCGATGGACAATGGGTTACGCGACGTCATCGAGTCCACCATGCAGGCCATGTGCCCCGAGATCCCGCTCCTCGACGAGCCCAGCCGCCTTCTACGTGCAGGAGGTCAGGCAGGCCAACGCATCTTGGGCGCCGTGATCGCCATTCCAAAGAACCAGGAGGACGCGCTCCTCAAGTACTCAGGCTACCAGGGCATCACTTTCACTTTCTCGTACATCGGCGTCGACGCTGAGAAGCAGGAGACCGACGAGAAGAAGATCCACGCCGTCTGGTTCAACAAGACCATCTCCATGCAGGGGGCCTACAGCCTCTCCAAGTCCCACGAGGCCGCACTGGGCGCTGCGAAAGGAAATCGCGGACACTTCGGACTACGGGTACAACGTGAACACCCCAAAGCAGGCGTAGCGGCCGCTGCTGTACGGGGCTCCGCCACAGCTTTGGCCCGACGCAAATGGCGTATCGACAACATCCCGAATGGAAAGGCCACTAAAAGACAAGTTGCGGACGCTGCTCAAACAGTAGGTTGGGCCGCCGATATCGTCTACGTGGGCTTCGACATCAATGGGAAGACAAACTTCGCCATCGCGCGCTCCGACACCGAGCCGACCAACAAGTACTGGAAGTTCGGCACTACCACGCCTGGGGTCGTGACCGAGGTCACCAGCGGGAACCGCAGCCCCGCCAGTACGTCAGCGGCAGCTCCTACGGTCGTCCTCGCCGCCTCCCTCCACACACAACCACCACCTGATCAACCTGCTGGTAAAGTACCTGCTGCACCAGAGGCTGCCACGCCTCCCTGGCTTGCTGCGCTTCAAGGGACCCCACCAGAGCAACCTGTTCCGCAAGGTGAAACCGACACGCGGATGCAAGTTGAGCCCCGTGAACCTCCACCTGCCCCGGTTCCTGTCCGTCTCCCTGATGCTGAACACGAACGGATCCTGGCCCTTGAAGCTAGTGTACGTGCCCAAGCTACCGCCGTGGCCGCTATGCAGGCGCAGCTCGACAAGCAGGACGCCGCCACCACCTCTCTCGGCGCCGAGCTGAACGACGTTGCTCAAAAAACGGATGCTGCCGTCACCGAGATCAAGCAGGCGAGCGTGGCACTCAACAACGCCATCCAGTTGAACCAGGCCCAGCTCCAAGGAAGCTTGGCCGCCATCCTCAAGAAGATGAATCTCCAGGAGGAGCGCGCCGACGCCCCCAGCAAGAAGACGCCGCGCACCAGCGACGACGGCAAGGGCAGAAACGACGACGACGAACTCTGAAGGAGCCCAAGAAAGGTCAGCCCCGCCTTTCGTTGGGAAGTACGTGAACGGGGACACCAATTACATTCACTTGGTAGTGGTCTACACGCTCAAATTTTGGGGTGCTGCAGCGAGTGGGATGGCTGCAGGAATGAGTATCGTACCACAGTCTCGACTATGTCTACAGCTAGTCTGGGTGACTGCCGCGGTAACGACACGGCCGAGACTAACACTCGGGAGGCTCCGCCTCGATCCAACCCCCTCATGCGAACGCACCGTCTCAAGCGTCACTTTTGCTTTTTCGTCTTGTGGGTCCTGACGACTCTGCCTCAGTGTCATAGCCACAGTCATCGCACGCGAGCTTACTCTGATTCAACTCTGGGTGACGGGCCTGACTATCACAAGTTCGTCTCACCCAATGTGACCTCGCTGCAAGCTCACTGGGAACTGCTCGCAGCTCTTGGCGATCGAGGCGTCGCCGTTGCAGCTCTACAAGAAGTACGTCACACACCTCATCAACTTTCGGACCTTGACAAGCATCTCCATCGACATGGGTGGAAAGCACATTGGGGCCCGCCTCTCTCTCCAGGCGCGCGTGTGGTTCCAGCGCAGAATGGCAAGCACCAGTACGTGTCCAAAGGTGTTAAGACTGAGCACGGGGGCGTCGCCATCGTCACCCCGGCCTCCGAACCCATGGTTCCTACGGATTGCCAGCGCCCTGTCCAAGAACGTCTTCTTGCGACAAAGCGTTGGAAGGAGGTTTTCGTTCCCATCCCCAACCAGAAAGGGAAGTAGACCACTGGTTATGACCTCGCCACCGTCTACGGAGTCGCCGCAGAGTCTAACGAGGACCTGTTCGCGGACGTTTGGCAAGCAGCTGCTCTTCGAGGTACGGCTGCCCCATATTTCGTCACCATGGATGCCCAGTGCGACGTCACCGAGTCTGCGTTTCCCAGCTGGGTATTACAGGAAGGAGGCTGGAACAACGTTTCGAACGGATATCCCGACCAGGGCGCCATGACCTACGGCCGCGACCCCAACTGGAACCGCTACGACCTCATCGAACACACCTCCAGGATTGACTACATCTTTGCGAATGATAGCGCCAATGCTATGGTCATCGGCTTTCAGATTGCTCGCGAATTCAAATGCCCTGGACATCTCGCCCCCGAAGTCACTCTCAATGTGGGCGCCTTTGCAGCGCGAGTGCGACGGTGGGAACGCCCGAAGCTCTATAACGCTACTCACATCAGCATGCCACACGATGAACGCGAAGCACTTGGCGCCCACTTGGCTGACCAACATGCTGAACAGCTTGCACTGACACAAGGCAATGCTGAGGACATTTTCGCTCTTGCCAATACGATTGCGGAGGATTTCTAGGATATATGCTGTGATGGTCATATCAAGAAGGGTACGAGAGGGCGTGGCGAGCCTCCTCGTTTTGTGCAAGGGTGGGCCGCCCACCCATCTCTCCACAGCACGGTGCCATGTCTCGCGCAGAGTGGCAATACACCAAGCTCCACCGTCGACTACTTGAACTAAGTTATCGTGCTGAACGTTGTGAAGATCGTGGGTATGCACCCTACGTCGACATCCAGCTCTACCACCAGCTCTGGGCCAACTGCTGCAAGCAAGACCGACTTCTTCAGCCAGTGTGTGCATCCTGGCCTGGATGGTGGACGCCTTTCTGTTGGCCTTCGACAGCCCAGTCCCGTCGCGCTGCTGCCCAGGTTCTTGCTGAACAACAACGGTATGCCGCAGAAGCCCAACGCCAGCGACTCCACTAATGACGAACTCGAATTTCAGCATCTTGCCAAAGTGGAGGGCGAGAGGTTTGTGCCTGGGTAAAAGCGCAGGCACAACAACCCACTACCTTCCTCAAAAAAAAAAAACACGACACCCAGGACATTATCTCCAACCCACTCGACATTATCAAGCTGATGCAGTTAACTTGGGAGCCGATTCTTTGCAAATATCGTGGGGCTTCAGAGGTTCCCACTTGGGGGGATTTTCGTGCCGAAAACGAAGCTGAGCTGCCCCCAGTGAGCCCCTGCCCTGAGCCCACACTTAGTGATGCTGGTGTCAGCGCTTTTCTCCAGGCACACTCCTCTCGCAAGGCGGGAGGTCTTGACGGATGGGCGACGGTGGAGGCCAAAGCTCTGGCCACGTCCATTCAAGCCGTCTTCGCCGAGGCTCTTCGATCGATGCAGAATTCGGGTCAGGTCCCCTCGGCTTTCAAACATGTTCCAAATCCCGCCTTGAGGAAGGGAGAGGGGATTTTTCCTGAGGAGCAAAGGCTCCTTTTCGTTTTGTCTGTGTGGTTTTGTTCTTGGGAAGTCCCGATCTATCGAAAGCTCGACTCTTGGAGGCGCAGGTGGAGTCGCCCCACGAGTTTTGGGGCTACGTCGGGGGCTCGTCTCTCGGATGTCTCCACCAGCCTTGCCTTGCAGGTCGATTGGTCCCGACGCACCGAGAACTGGGTCCACGGTCTTGCTCTCGACAGACAGAAGTGCTTCGACCTGCTGGTAGCCAGTATATGCATCGAACTTCAACGACACGCAGGGCGCCCCGAGAGTGTGCTTCGAGTTCGTGAACAGTTTTACGCCCAACATCGGAGATACCTGCGAATGTCTGGAACTTACAGCGACGCCATGGCCACCACGAATGGCCACTTACTAGGCCCTGCATTTTTGCATGGCTGATATTAAGATGCTCATGTATGTATGGACGGCGAGACAACACAGGGTAATACCGAGATCTCGATCCATAACGTACATCGACGACTCCAACTCAACTGTGTGGGACATGGCTGGGATTCGTGAATCGCTTCGTGAATCGCTTCTTTTTGATACACCATCTGGACAGGAACTACATCTTGGGAAGCTGGTCGCCTGGACCACCGACGAGAACTCGGTCACTGAGCTCGCCAACACCACGGTCTGTGGCCACAACCTGCCCGTCAAGCGCGCCTTCCGCCTAGTGGGCAGCCAGGTCGTCACGCGCGGAGGTGGCGACACTAGCCTCGTGGACCGCCACTTCGTTGCTGCAGCTCAACGACTTCAACGTGCTCAACGGCTCCCCCTTCCCCTACATACGCGTGCCGACATCGCGCAAACGATGGCGGCATGCATGGTTGCTGTGGGCTCCGACCTCGGCACGCCCTCCAACCGACAGCTGCGGGATTACTACCGCGCCATGTTTGCGACCATCATGCCTAAGGGGCGGCAGTGGACCTGCCAGTGGGTCTTGTTGAGCGTCGTTCTGAAGGGCCACCTCCTCGACCCCATCACGATCAGCCAGAGGGAAGTTACCCTCTCGTTACGCCGTCTGGTTCTGCGGGTGCCACAGCTTCGCGACTACGTGCGTGACTTTCGTGATCATATCCAAGATGCAGACGCCGCCTACCCTGGTCCTGTTCGAACGTTCGTCAAGATGCTCAACCAGCTGAACTGGCGCTAGCCATCCTTCGACATCCTGCTGACCGACTTGGGCACTCCCATTCCGTGGCTCGATGGGCACAGTGGCTTTCTCATGCATCATCTTCGAGACGCCCAACGACGGTGGTTTCAGCGTAAGGTGCCCACTACGCGGAACGACCTCGGAGACGTGGCCAAGCACAAGTACGGCATTGACATGGTTTCAAATTCTTGGCTCTTGCGAACGCGCAGTCTCAGGCATCGTCTTACTAAGCGGCAGCGTGGTCTTTTCTAGCCGGCAGGTTCTGTGACAGAGAACAGGAAACGCAAGAACACATCCTGTGGGAGTGCCCTTGCTGGCGAGAAGAGCGCGCACCACTACTCCAATATCCACAAGTTCAAGAACGTGATCAGTGGCCGCCTTCAACACGTCATTGTGGTCTCACGTACATCGATGAGGAGACGGTCGCCCTCTACAACGAACTCGTAGCCCTACCTGAACCCCCGCAACATCGACCCCCACAGCAAGTTGACGACGACCCCGCCGAGGACATGGTCAACTACATCACCGACGACGAGAACAAGCGGTGGCTGGCCTTAGCTACGGATGGCGCCTGCCGTTTCCCTCAACATCAATGGCTAGCTCAAGCTGGGTATGCTGTATATGTGGCGCCGCGCCGCCGCCTGAACTATTCCTCGAAGCTATACGGGCCACGACAAAGTAGTGCACGCGCTGAAGCCCGAGCTCTACTTCATGTTGTACGCGTTGCGGAAGAGCCCGTTTGGATCTACTGCGACAATCAACAATGTGTTCGTGAATTCAACAATCTACTACAATGAGGAGATCCCCCTGGAGGAAGCTGGAATGACATCGGGACCCAGATCAAGATTGAGATGGATGCCAAGCCCGAGATGTTCTACATCTAGCCCGTGTACTCGCACCAGGGCGATGACGGTGTGGACCGCGGCGCTGTGCATCCGCTCGCCGAGGAGTTGAATAAAAATGTTGATGCGCTTGCCGCTAATGCCGCCAAGTTACACCCCCTCCCGACCTCTGTAATTCAGAAAGCCAGGGACCGCTACTTTGACCACTTGAATGCATCGATCGATTGTTCGAATTTTAGAGAAGCGTGCTGTGACGAGACCCCTTCCCCATCGGTCTGCGGGGTTCTCGGATTCCCAACTCGCTCGTCTCGCTCCTTTCACCTCCGACCCTCTCCCGCCTCCTCCTCCCCCCCCCCCCCTCCCGACTGGGAGGAGGCGATGGGGGTCGAGGTCGAGCTCGAAGATGAGGCCGGCTATGACCCTTTCGGATTTGGTTTCGAGTTAGGTTAGCCTCTCGTCCGATCCAGCTTGGCAACTATTTAGATAGTGCCTCGACCCGTGCCCGAGTCAAGAGGTCGCCGCCTCCGTCTCGGTTTCAGATGTGGCGGACCCCGTTTCAGAGTCCAAACGAAGGGGGGGCGCGTTTTTTTTTTTTTTTTTTTTTTTTTTTTTTTTTTTTTTTTTTTTTTTTTTTTTTTTTTTTTTTTTTTTTTTAATATATATATATATATATATATATATATATATATATATATATATATATATATAAACAAAAAA